ATGAGGTTCGAACGAGTTATATTACGTACAGAACGTTGCTGAGCTATATTTTTGTGCAGTTGTTGCTCTCTGTTGTTCAAGGTCTTGTTGGCGAGACGAAATGTCCTTCCAAGACACACTCGCTTTGATCGATGAAACGGTATCTGGAAAACGAGTTGACCGACCGCTGAAGACCGAGGGTAATTTTTCCGATGCTGAGCATGAGTACAGGACCATAAGCATAAACATGTCAGATTCTGTGTTCAAGTGTCCATCTGTCGTCACCGGTGTTATTAGGTGATCACCGACCGAACGGAGCTTGTTGAGCTTGTCGGTCGGCGACCACCGACCTAGCAAATGGCGATTCCTCCACGAGCTGACTGTCGACCGGTGTTCGCCGCCAAAGCACCTTGGTTCCTTAGGTGACAACGATTATGCCTCCGTATGTCCGTCCCTCCGTACGTCCGTCTGACACAGTGCGATTGTTGATCCTCATCCCGGCCGCAGATGGCTGAACAGACAGGGACAATTGCAGTCGCGACTCGAAGCAGCCTCGCATTGTTTGTTCGACACTTGATGTGCAAACACTGTCGCGTACGACCACAACGACTAACGGTCTTTGTTTTTACCCACCATGGTACCTGCTGCTGCCACCGACTTGGACGAGGATCGCGCGACTCGACGTCGAACGTCGTCTCGCTTCCCCTGCCTTTGTCACAGCCGCAGGTGTCAAGCTGCGGGAGCTTTAAGCGGTGACGACCGACATTTGAGGTGGTGCCGAGGGAAAATGAGAAAATACCGTTACAACTCAGGTACCTCGCCTTGCAGGCACTCAGCAGTGGTGACAATGGTACGTCCAACGGAAACAGCAAGTGTGAGGTTCTTCGACCATTGGTCACCAAATTTTTATCCCTCCACCTTACCCAGTATTGAAAGGCTACTGCGCGCGGCTCATCACTCTTACCCCAGTTGTGGACGATTAGACTGGCTAAGGTTGCCATAAAGCTACCCGTGCCCTGGTTAAGGGTTACCGGAAAATGCAGTTGATCCGTTCTGAAGGTTTTCTTAACTTCAGGGACACCCCTTCTAACTGCGGTGGACTCAATCACAAACTCACTCACGGAAACCTTATCATCGCATTTTTTTGTAGTTATAGCGGTTTCCGTTTTATTTTTGTCTGGCTAAAATGGTGTACATATTCTTCCGTAAAGCACGTTCTCGTGCATGGCTTGTAACGGCTTTTTAAAATTTGTACCCGACCCGTATGCACGTGAATTCCCTCCAATTTAAACTTTATTCATATTGCTAGGTCCTAGTGTCTACATCTACATATTCGTTTTCGAGCTAAACCTGCCTAGAAGAATGTGACCTCGACTGCAATCTCTGATAGGAGATCTATAGGAAACTGTCTACTTGGTGACGTCCTTAAATATGTCATTTCAACATCCTGGTTTCAGTAATAGAACCTATCAGTAAACCGCATTGAGCTTTTTGCATTCAGAACAAGTAACCGCTTTCATGACCAGTTTCCAGCCCTATTCTTGAACGACGGGGGGGGGTGAGCATTGACAACCAGTGTTACCTTTCTTGCGGTCACCGTTATGCGAGGCTATGCGGAACTTCGGTGGCAGAAACTGACATCTCTTTGTCGTTGGCAGTGGCCGGTGATTTGTTATTTAAAGCACGCAAACGTTCATCTTCTTTAGTCACCTCTGAGACGCCACCTTTTACACCGTCGTGGCGAAAACCCAGCTAGATTTTTCCAGAAACCGTGCTTTCCTGGAAAGGCCGGATCACATATGCGAATTAATTAAATTTAGAAAATTAACGAGCTGCCAATGAAGGACCGCTGAGTGACAAATGGTGCAGCGCTCCACCATTCCAGATGAGTCAAAAAAGTTCGCGCATGCCAACCTTGGCCTCGAAACTGCTCCGATTATGGGATTTATTGTGCGTTTAGGGATTCAATATTTCTCTTCCAACTGCGTCACCGACGCCCTGCGGTCATCCGTCAGTTCTTACGATTTGTTGGCAGTTGCTTTGGACAGCTGTTCTTCATTACAAGGCGCTCGTGTCGAACGCCGAATCACCTCGTTTGGTTTGCGAAAGTCAAACCGTTGTCCAGATGTTTCGTGAAGGGGAGCCCGGCCTCTGGACGAAGACCCTGTATGATGCCTTCGATGGCTACTTTCGCTCGGCACCCCGATTGGAACTAGGATTTGGCGGCCTAGGCACTGTGTTGTCCCCCCCTCACAACCTACCACATTCCTTTGTAGCGTAGGTCGGTGTCTCATACAGGGCGCTGTCTGCAGTGACTGCACTGACGATTACTCGCCAGTGACTATTTATTTTGTTTGCCTAGTTTGACCAGTCTGCTAGACTGAACAACCACCTGTGCCCACATATCTGTTTATTGTACCGTTCACTTTTAGACCGCTACCAAGGCAGCGGCGCATTTCTAGCAACTTCCGTCTCACTGTCAACCCCACAACACTAAACCTAACAGAGCCGAACCGACCGGTTCTATGTCGACCAGTTTTCTTTATCACCGTTCCAATCTTTGGAGGCAAATTTCGATGCTGCCGCTGTTAAACTCTAGTTTTGCACTTTTCACTACCTTATGGGGTATGGGCATTCCGATGTCCATCCTTTGTGTTGCCCTCACAACTGC